GCTTGGTGTATTCCAACTTACTCCCTTCTCTAGGAAGGTGGTGGGAAGACTAGTTAGAAAAGGATGCCAAGAAAGGCTCTGGGCTCCTGAGCAGTTTGCAAAGAGATGGCAAAGGGCAAAGGTCCCCGACGGTCCCTCGGGGGACAAGCTCCCATCCTTCGGCTTGAACATTTCACCCCACCGAGCCGCAAAGGGGCCCAAGGCCTCAGCCGGAGCAGCCATCCATCAGCCCAAGATGGATGTCTCCGAAATCAACAGGCCTGTCAATCATCCTTGTCAAAACCAGGGACCCTCTGGACATTTTAGAGCGGACGCGGGTCTACCTCGGTTGCAGATTCCAGGTCATTTCCAGAGGTGGTTGCCAACCTTGCGGATGCATAGATGGCACTCGCTTTGGAATATGTGACCTGATGGGGATTTTTCTTCCCTGGAAGGAGAATGAGAAGGCCTTGCTCCTTCTCTCTTTCCTGCCATGGATGTGAATTTTACTTCCAGTCTGAGAGGTTGTGGCTCGTTCCAAGGTCATGTCCCAATTTTCTCCATTTTCAGCCCCTTCTTGCGGGGTGCCTCTGCAAAGTTTAAGTTTTGCTGCTGCTGGCAAAGCAAATATAATAGTGGCGCATCATCGGCATGCCCAGGTCCCTCAAACAGATATCTATTTATCTATGGCCGATGCCATACTGCAGAATTAATGCACTTTGACACCACTTGAACTGTCATGGCTCCATCCTATGCAATCCTGGGGTTTGTAGTTTGTAGAGAGAGCCGACATGGCATAGTGGGTTGAGTGTTGGACTATGACTCTGGAGACCAGGATTTGATTCTCCACTTGGCCATGAATACCCACTGGTTGATCTTGGGCAAGTCATACTCTCTCAGCCTCAGGGAATGGCAAAGCAAACCCCCTCTGAATGAATCTTTCCAAGAAAACCCCATGATAGGTTAGCCTTAGGGTCCCCATAACTCAGAAACAAACTGAAGGCACAATGAATGCATCATCCTGTCTTTCAAGACAGGGAACTCAGGATGGGACGGTGAATGCCATGGCCTCCGGTCTCAGCCATATGAGACATTTGCCTAATCTACCCAATGATAGGACCTGTCTAAAGAAAAACATCATATTCAGTCTGCTCTGCAGTTACAGTCGCCAAGGTCCATGCTGGATGCAGACATGCAATTTTTGGACGGAGAGGATGGGAGACCAACTTAGCTGACAACCCAGGAACAAAGGCAGTCATCTGAAAATAACAATCGGTCCTGAGTTAATTAAAGCAAGAGGAGACTCGGCCGGACAGATGTTCTCCATTGTGTTTGGGCCACAGGCCGGGGGGGTCTTGGAATAGCCCTCCATGAGAGCGTTTCCCTTGGGAAAAGGATATCAAAGCCTTATCTGGCCTTGTTATGATAGCCTTGGTTCTCTCATCTCGCTCTTTCCCTGTGCATATGGGCCGGGGAGGGCTATTACACGAGCCAAGAAGTATGATAATACATCTGGGAAGGAGGGCTTCCTTTTCCGGAGTTTGGCCGGAGCGATGGTGGTGGAAACTCAGCACAGAGAGAAAGCAAGTCCTCCCCTTCCACCGCCACCGCCACCCCCCCCATCTCATCAAATTGACGTGTCTCCTTATGCTACGCATTACATGGATCAATGCGCTTGGATGAGGCTGAGGAACACCCAAGGTGGCCGGATTGGGAAGGAGGACGTCTCATTGTTTTTGCACCGAAATAGCCGCCCCATATGTTGTGATGTTTTTGAAACGGGACATCATAACATCTTTGGGAATAATTCCTTGTCTCATTTGACGGTGATGGGAATACTTCCCAAGGAAGGTCATGGCCACTCCAATGAGAGGAGATGCTTGCATGCTTTCCCATGTAGAAAAACCCCTTGTACAGTCAAAATGAGAACTCATGGGGGTTTTTGAGGGGTGCGTGTCAATAACAATAGGATTCCTCTGCTCCCAGATGAGCTAGCTTTCTACATGAGTACCACTTTTCTTGGGTTCTGTGGGTCCATTTGTATATGAACACCACCAACGCAATCACAAAATCGAATTTTAAAGTTTAACAGTAACAATATAACATATCCTATACTGAGACTAGCAAGTTCTGTCCAAGCTCCTTGCATTCACTGCACCACAAAGCACCAGCACAAGACTTGTTTGCAGAAACCTTTCCTTTGTTGTTGTTGCTGTCATTTCTGATCTATGGTGACTCTGTCATAAGGTTTTCTTGGCAAGTTTCTTCAGGGAGGGTTTTCCATTGCCATCCTCTGAGGCTGAGAGAGTGTGACTTGCACATGGTCCTCCAGCGAGTTTCCATGGCTGAGCTGGGATTTGAATCCTGGTCTTCCAGGGTCCTAGTCCAATGTTCGAACCACTACGCCACACTGGCCTCAGCAGTTATTGTAGGCAACCTCAAAACCCGAAATGAAAATGCAAAATACACACACACACA